CTCTCCCCCTAAAATAAAAAAACAGTAAAATAACTCCCTAAACAAACAGTAAAATAAAATTAAAAAAAAAAATGGTGTGCGCACCCGGCGCACCTGCGCCCCGCCAGCGCGCAGCGCACCGGCCATGTGCGCAGCGCACCGCGCACCCAGGTGTGCGGCGCCCGCCGGTGCGCGCGCACCTCGGGTCCGTGCACCGCGCAGCGCACAAGGTTGATGCGCCGCAAGTATGAAAAAAAACGGTTGTCTTACTGTCGGCGCGTGCATGCGCGGAGTTGTTCAGCTCACCGCACACTGCGGGACTACCGTCTTCCCCCAAACACAACGCAATCTCACCACGAGTGTATTCAAGCTATATTTCCGGTCGGGTAATGAGTGTGCAGGGGAAGATGGTTAGACTGGGTCCAGGTGGGACATGGCAGCATGTGGCCATTTGGCCTGTTTTTTTTTATTATTATTATTTTTCTCTGTGTCCCCAGATTTGAGCTTGCATGGTTTTTCTCTGTGCGGTTTTTCTGTCTTTTGAAGCTTCGTTTTTCCTTTTGTTTTTCCTTTTGTTTTCTTTCTTTGGTTAAGAAAAATAAAAAATTGTCCTCAAGTTTTGGAAATGACCCGATGGAGTACCTCTGGGCCCTGGCCAGTTTACTAGGCCCTAGGGACAGTAGATAGGCAGTCCATTTGGACGATGACAAGAGCAGCCAGGGCTAAAAAGATATATATTATAGTCGATGAAACTCCGATGAAACAGTTTGCCACAGCCCCTCGTTTGTTGTCCTCTTCTCCCTCTCTGCCTATGGTTTACCGGGCAGCTCTGTTTGACTATATATAATATATATATATCGTCATATATATATATGACCTGGTGGTCTCTCATGACAGGTGATTGCTGGAAGTGATCGACACAGCACCAAGACTTCTTTCTGCCAGCGAGTTTGTTCTTGTTAGACAGAGACGGGAAGAGTGAGGATTTCTTTGCTTGAGTGATTTTCTTTGTCGATTGTCTGGTGTTGGTCAGGCTTTCTAGTCAAGATCTGTGGCAGTTTTCATCATTTATGATATTATTTGTTTGTTCTTGGTTGGGATTTTGTCCGGGGTTATTTCTGATATTGGAGTTGAGGCGGAGGAGATGTCATACTGAGCAGCATTAGTATTTTTTGCAGCAACATCGTTCATTGCTTCTACTTCTTGTTGTCGTTCTCCTGCCTTTAGATTCATCCCTGTATCTGCATTCACTTATGTTCTTGCGTCCTGTTATCATTGATTGATTGGTTGATGGCTTATTTTATCGATTTGATTGA